CAGGTAGAAAGCAAGGGGGGGGTGACAAGATCCGCTGACAAGATCCGCGTGCCTCAACAGGCTGTGAGTGTGTGAGTGAGTGACCATAAGCTGAACCTGGGAGCAGCGTGTGTAACACACTCTGTCTCAGCTGTAGGAAGAAGGCCACGGCAAACCACTTCCAAAAATATTGCCAAGAAAACTGAGGGACTAGTCCACACAATCACCAGGAATCAACACTGACTCAAACACAGACGCAAATCTCTACTTCAGATATGTTACATCGATTATCCCATCTTTTCAGTGCTCATAAATGTATATTTTGTAATGTAATTTTCTTTTTTTCTTAATATTACACATGCAAAGAATTGCAGGGGAGTTCATGCGATCCAAAATACGGACTTCAATTAATCTTATGGGTTATACCAATTTGTCCTGTCTCTCATGGAAGGCTCTCTGATCTAAGACTTCCATAAATAGAAGGTATAGAAATGATTTTAGTTGATTACTACTTCTCCCCGCAGTTCCCAAGAGTTCCCCCTCTCCCAAGTATAGCCAAGAACACTGATGGTTATAGAGTTTTACTATACAAATCTACATTCATGAGAAGAATGTTTTGAAATGAAATATATTCTACCTATGTTGAAGTCACAATGTTCATAAGACCACATATGATGTATTACAAGGAGTATTTACCTTCCGTAGTCACTTAAGCATGCAGCTGCTGGAAATAGTGGACAACCTTAGCCTCAAATACAAGACAAAGACCCTGTGCAAATCATTGGTTCACCAAAGCTTTTCTAGATCTCTGGTCTGCTCCATCCCACCTCATTGTGATTATCAAGCAATACAAATCTTAAATTCAAACACTTTATTAATAAATAAATGCTTCTGCACTTGGCAGTCTAGATTCAGAAACCTCCCTCAGAAGTGCTTTCTGCCATAAATATGTTAAGATTTTGAAGCCCTGCTGCAGTTGTTTCAGCTGGGCCAACCTCTGCTTAACGTAAAGATTTTATAGCAACTTGGGTTGTAGAAAGCTATGGCTTCATTTTGTGTAACTAACTTCAGGGATAGATCAATTCTGGATGCAAATCAAGACCATCTTGTGTTAGTGCACCTTCAAATGATAACAAGAAACAGATGTTTGGTTTTTCCTCATGCCTTCTTTTACCCAGAAATATCATGTACAAATCACTCCAGCCATATTCAGTTGGATGCACACATCAAATGAAGCCATAATTTATTTTAACCATGGTTTCTTGAACAAACCATAATATTAAGACATAAACTAGGCTTTACAAACTACAATGGCTGGGTGCACACCTGCTGAGTCAAACCCAACCCACCAACAGTGGGTTCTCTCACTATGCCTAAGCAATGCAGCTATCCATTAGGAGAAACTGAAAAACTGTGCATTCTTTCCACACTTTCTCCAGATTCCAGCCCCCCCCAGCACTGTGCCATGCGCCATAATACTTATAGCAGGCATCATGCAGAGAAGAGCAGCTGGATATGTATAGGAGACATTTGCACAAACATCCATAATGAGAGCAAACTGGGTTGTACTGAGCTGTATAGGAATTCTAAACATCTACAACCTCACACTGCTTATCATTAACAAACACTGAACACACACCGAACACTTATCATTAACACACACTGAACACAGTGTGTTAATGATAAGATCTGTTTTTAAAATATTCTTGGCTTCCATTTGGACTGTTTTAACCATTTTAACTGCATTGCTGTTCCTATAAATTGCCACTTTTTGTGACAAGGAAAAGAAAGCACAAATAAATGGGCTATTTTTAAAACACACACCCAACTGTGTGATAGCTAACAAGTCATGCCCATTTAATAAACAGAAATGCAACAATATTCCACTGCAAATCCTAACAACCAGCATGCATCAGGCGCAATGCTGTAAGATTTCAAACCTACTCTAGAAGATAAACCAGAGAATTCCCCATCCAAAAAGGACCTTGTGATATAGAGATCTAATGAAGGTGAACTCCTCTAAATAAATGTTTAAAAATATGAGACGGAGTTCCTCGGAGAAAAAAATGAGTGTGTGCGTGGAGTGGTGGGAAAGCCAGCCACTCCAGAATGCAGCTTCTATTCTAGCGAGATCACCACGATGACGAACCTCCTCTTCAATGACCATTTCCAGCGGCCACCACGTCCCTTGGCTAAACTGCCCTCTTTCCATATTTATCTGTTTGTTGCTGCTGCTGCTGCTGCTGCCGCCGCCGCCAGAGGTCAGAACCATTGGAAGCTCCGCCGACAGGCAAAGCTAGTTAAAGGGGCAATCAAGCCGAGCGTCCTTCCACCCCGGGCTGTGTCAGTCACCTTTTCAGGTCGGGGGCCACGGTCTTTCTTAAGGTTCGGCCTCCGGGTACCTCAGCACTGCATCTCCTTCGGCGAGAAGATGGGGGTAGAGCGCCCAGGCCGGGCTCCTGAGGGAGGCAGGTGAAGGGAAGCGGGCCCGCACCCAGCGCCACTCCCGCGGAGGGGCAACGACAGCGGCCGCAGCACCGGCGACGCCAAACCCAGACTCTCCGCACACGCCCGACGGGAAAAAGAGGACGCGGCAGAAACCTGCCCGCATCCTGGAGACGTCACCGCGCTTTCCCTTCCTCCTCCCCCGCCACACGCGTGCTCAGCCGCAGCGCGCGCATGCTCCCCGCCCAGGGCGGGCCGAACGGCTTAAACGCCCTTCCCCTTGAATTGCGGTGTTGTCTCTTTCGCCAGGGATGGGGGGCGGGGGGAGGATTCGGTCGTCTTCTTTCAGCGCGTGCTGTTGCCCGCCCGTTCTTTTAGAGTCCGGTAGGACATCAGGCGCCCAAGTTGTCCTTCAGTTGAAGCACTGATATGATTCCCCGAAAGACCTTCGCCAGTCCCAGAAGTCTAGCTAAAATCAGAAATCAGTTAAACTGACCCAGCTGTAATCTAGATTTAATTTTCGGAATCCGGTTCTGTGAAAAAGCCTTCCCTTTTCGAGCTTTCCGAATTTTTAAGTATGCTTCCCACCTAAAGTTAGAAGCTTCGTGTTGGTGCTCATTTCATGTTTCCTTAAAGTCATCCAACATGCCATGTACCAGTGTGAAAAAACCCACCCTGTTAAATTCAATAACTGCACCACCATTAGTTGCAATAACTGCAACCAAATGCTGTTCATTTAGTCACTACTTTATATCAACATTTTATGTCCTTACTGTCAATTGATTCTTATTTCTGTCTTAATTTCATTAGCTACTAGGGTCATTTTAACAATAGAATCGCTATAATTGGACTCAGTTTTGAAAACATAATAACTCCTTATGTATCATTCTTCCTCATACATGGCATCACTACAGCACAACTCTAGATATACAGTAATATTAATTACAACTTTCCATGGCTTTTAGTATTATAATGGTTATTTTAGATCAGTCATTTTACTATTCTATTATTCTAAATAATCATTTAATTGCCTTATATAAATTGTATAATACCTTACTATATTGATTTTTATTCTTAAACTTTAACTTACAATTTTACTTTACTATATGATTTTATAGCTTGTTTAATCAATTTCTGTGCTGTATAGGCTGTATTAATATTCAGGGAGTTAAATGTGACACTTTTTGTTTTGCTGGTCAGTGACTGAAATAAAATGACTGACTGCAACCAAATGCCTGTACTGTATGTAGTTCATTATCAGTCTCTCACACTGGTGTGTAAGGATTTGGGACTGTTCTTCTATGATGAACTGCTTTAAACTAAGTAAGTTTACCAGTGTGAACTGCTTGTTTCAGGTTTTGGCTATTTCAAGACTAAATGTATTCATTTTGTTGTAGACTTATCTTTAGGATAATTATCTGGCTGCATGACCTCCTTTGCACTTTATCTAAAGGACAAATGGCTGAGGCTATCCTGTAGATAGAATAGCCTTGAGATAAAACAGAAATAATCTCAATTCATTCAAGTCCTGAGGCAGCCGTGCATCTCCACATCATACAAGACAGTTGGTATGAAGTTCTTATTTCATTTCCAGGAGGTATAAGACCCTCATTTTGCCTGAAAAAATCCCACTTTTTGCCTCATCTGTTCATAGAACCTCCCTCCAGAAGTCTGGAGGGTTTTCCAGGTGCTTTTTGGCAAACACAGGATGAAATCAGTGTTCGTAACTCATGTTTTCCCCTTTGTTACTCTCCCATTAATTCTATTCTTACACAGTGCTTTTCTGATGGTGCAGAAGGAACACTCATTTTAAGCCAAGACGCAGAGGCCAGAAGGACTGTAGATGTTATTCTGGGAGTGTGACTTCCTGGACAATTTTATGCTATGCTCTTAGAATAATTTTGACAGGACAGCCTCTTTTGGAAAGATTCACTATTGCCCTCAATCAACTCCATTTCAAAGCTATCTGTATAGATCAGCAGTCCCCAACCTTTTTGGCACCAGGGACTGGTTTCATGGAAGACAGTTTTTCCACGGACTGGGGGGG